AGACTGTGTGAATACTCTCTTTCCGTAACAACGAGTTAAAACAGACAATAAAGCATAAGGAATTACAGTACTGTATAGTGTAAGTTAATAATTATAATGTTATTTTAGGAGCTCAGGTTTTCACAAATTTCACATGTGAGACCAGTCTAAATTAATATGTAAAATGTCAATATTTGGTTTAATTTAACACTGATGTTTTTTTACTATTCTTGTCGACTGAAATTAGATTTTTTTAGTCTTTTTAAATTTGCTAAAATGAATGAATGTGACATGGCAAAATATTGACTAAATTTAAAATATATTTTCGTCAAAGGACAAAAACGACATGAAAGTTAATACCGTTTGAGCCCCAACCCATCTTACGCCTTTTCCAGTCCTTCAAAAGCCAGAGACAACCTCACGATGCTGACTGGGATGGCAGCCAGTATATGGCCTGCTTCAACTGCCCAAAATCTATAACAATGGACAGCAACCCCTCTTCACGGCAGCCTGCTCAATCCACTCGCCAGCGTTTGGCTTGCCCGCAGGCATTCTGGGAATGCCAAAATGGTGCAGAAGTCTGGGGAGACTCTGTGGTGGCGGCACATACCTCGACAGTGGCATGGTGGGGTTCATGAGGGCCACGAGGCGCTCGCACCACTCCAGGATTCATGTGCGTCCAGTCACTTCAGACAACACACACTAATCCTCGAAGTCATGACAATCGACGCTGTGATGAAGCTTGTCGTGACTGCCAAGGTTGAGAGAAAGAGAGCGACCGCAAGAGGAAAAGGACGAGGGGTTTCTGAAAGCTGTGTTTTTTCAGCCTTAGAGTCATGCAATAACTCATTATAACTGCCATCCTAAACTGTCTCGCACAGATGCAATACTGTAACACCAGGCTCTTTGACAGACTTGAAAAAGCCATCATGCTGTATGTAATGAACATATTGGCCTCAAAGTAAGAGGATGGACAAAATCAAATACACAAATAGTTGGAGGCTAAAGAAATATTGAATTGCCTACGAAACTAGATCGATTTCAAAGCATCCCAGAGAGTTGCCCCAACAAACTGAGGAGAATTTAGATTCTGTTCATTCTTGACTCTAAATCAGCACGCTGTTCGTGAGGCGAACTTGATTTACATTGAAAACACTGAAGTGGTTCTCTGGTTATTAGTTGGAAATGTTGATCCTGCATGATGTTTTTTTGGCCTTTAGGTTGATTATAAATGGAACAGATGGAAAATACATCAAGACAGAGAAAAGGAGAGAATTAAAGTACAGCTGTTTATCACAGTTGTACAAGACTATAATGGTGCAATTTGTATAAATAATTGGTGGCAGATGGGTAGAGTGTTTACAAAACGTTGAAAACTATTTTTGGTGAAGCTAGTGGCTTTGGTTAACATGGTCACTCTGCTACCCTCTATTGGTAACTGCTTTATTTTTTGTAGATTCTTTATAATAATATTATATTATATTATTGTTAATATAATTAATATATAAAATGTAATACAGGGAAGCTCACTGTCTTTGAAATCTGAACAATCAAACTGCCACCACTGTCTAAAAATGGAAGACAGAAGATGTCTTCGCCGAGCTTTCCAGGGTCTTGTCCTCTATTTTCTCAAGCATTCCATCCTGATTTTCCACAGAGACGTTTTGTGGGCTGTTTTAGCATTGATCAAAGGTCCACAGCTTTGATCTTTTGTCCTAGTGCTGCCAAAAGATCACTCCGGTCTCTCTGGCGAGCGAACTGACAGGACAGTAGACCAACAATGATAATTACAGGCTCCTCTTTATGTTTCTTTCTATGTCTTTCAAGCTAAAAAAAAAAAAACTGGCATAAACAGACACTATGCACTACAGCCTGAATTCCTGTCCTGTAGCACGGGGAAAGAGAAAAGAAGAAAACTAAAGTGCTTTTACTCTTTAGACGATGAAGAGTGTAGATTAAAGGAGGATATTGCATTTCTGCATGATAGTATGATGGTGTCTTTATTAAGCTTTGCTGTCATGTACATTAATACTACATCTTAAAGCTAATCCCCACTTTTCAGTTTTTAAGCATGTTCTGAAAATGTATCTGCAAACTTATTTTTGATATAAAATATCTACAGGGCTTAAAATAACAGGCAGTTCCATGAGGAACTTAGAAGATCCTGTAGAAACCCAGATCATCCTACTAGACTTTTGAAAACATCAGGGCTCTTCCAGGGTTCCCATTATAAGGGAAAGGTTTTCAGGTACTTTCCAGGAAGTTCCTTGAGCAATTGGATATTTGAGATTTGAAGGACCTTCAAAAGGATTCTTAGAAGTTCTCCAAAAGATGTTCTCCTTTCATTTTTACACTGTAGGTCCAGCAAAGAATCCTTTTATCAAGAACCATTTGTGGCTGTTTAAGACTCTTGAGTTGAGCTATGTACAGGCTTTTTGGAGATTTAAATAAGTTCTTGATGTTGCATTATACTGTATTTTCTTCAGATGAGAATATTAGTTTCTGAACATAGATTAATAGGAACCAGAGAATAAATATTATTTGTGCAATCTGGCTAAAAAAAACCCTTTAAGATCTTTTGGCCTTCTATTTTGCATGCTTTTCGTTCTGAATAGAGCTTTTCTACTGTCTTCCAAGCTTTGCAGCCCAAGTGTAACTATAAATTGAAGTTTTGTTGGATCATTATGTCACTAGTAGTAGCATTAAGGATTTTTGTTGTCATTAAACCGCCAAATAAGATGAGAATCAATGAGGCTAATAAACCACAGTACTCTTGTAACATAATATACGCACATAACTCAGCATACCCCATTAGTTTCATCGCTTTTAACACATATAACTATACAAAATGTCAACCAACATTTCACACAGTGAATAAAATCCTTTTACTTTTGACTAACAGGCGAGATGGGCATAGAAGTCTCCGGAGCTTTTTAGCGACTGCCAGCAACAGGTGAAAGCAGACCCCTGTTTTGACTTAAACAGATGAAGCTTCCATTAGCACGGCTAGAATTCCGCCTTTTTGGACGGCATCTTTGGACTTTCTGCCACGGCTAACCACTCAGCAGGTGATGCTGATCATTAGTAGGCAGAACATGCAGTTGTGGTCATTGGCACGTGGAAGGAGCCAGATTCTCACCGATACATGGAGCAGACTGTGGTTGCGGAGGACAAAACATAGACAATAACATCACAAATGAACAGTGGAGTTCAAAAGGTTGAAATATATTAAAAGTTCTATTTTGCGACAAGTTGTGAAAAGAAAACATGTTAATGTGACAGTAAGAACACATGGGTATAAAACACCTTTTCAGAGCGTTACAGGAAGTCAGTTATACTACTTACTAGTACTTCATCTATTTGCATATCTCTGACTTTTTGTCTGTCTGTAATGTTGTATGTTCCTATTTTTTGCGTTATTGGTCTTTACAGTTCATGTTGGCAGGGTAATATGTCAGTTTCTTGTTGATGCATCATTCCAATTACAAGAAATGTTTAAAGTTGCATTTTTTTCTGTACTGAAAGTGCCGTTCATACTGATACTGTAGCTGCCAAGTTTGTGTTTCAAGATGCAACAGATTGTTTTTTTTTTTTTTTAATTTTCAAACAACCATTTCCAGTAGTTGCTTTTGAAAAATTACCAGTCAACAGCCGTAATATCCAGCCCAGTCTCATGAAGAAAAAATAAAAGGTGTCAGTGGTGGCAGTTTTTCAAAATGAGATTACGTTGCTTTTTCTGCGTATCACTGTGGTTCCCAAGTGAAATGGTGCTAAAGAAATGAAATGTCAGGTGAGTGGCGCTAAAAGGCTAATTCTCTATCGATTTCGAAATGAAGAAAACATATCCCTACACGAAACCCTTCCAACGGTGTGAGCAAAGGCAGATGTGAGATTAAAACCACACTGAAACAACCACGCCATTTGAACTTGTTTCTATACGACACTTTGAGGTCATCTGTTGCGTGTGACAAAATACATACAAACTAGCGTTCATAAGTTTGATCTAGGTAAGTTTTTTTTCAATTTATTATTATTTATTTTAAGTTTTTGAAAGAGTCACCAAGCTCAGCTCACAAAGGCTGAATTTATTTGATCAAAAATACAGTAAAAAGAGTAATATTGAGAAACATCGTCACAGTTATTATTAAATAGGAACTATTTTCTATTTCAGTATATTTTAAAATGTAATTTATTCCTGTGATCCAATTTTGCGCAGCCATTTCTCACGTCTTTGGTGTCACATGATCCTTTAGAAATCATTCTAATATGCAGGTTTGGTGCTCAAGAAAAATGTCTCATTATTGTCAATGTTGCAATCAGTTGTGCTGCTTAATATTTTTGAGGAAACCATTATATATTTTTGTCAGGATTCTTTGATGAATAAAAAGTAAAAAAAAAAGAATAGCATTCATTTGAAATGGATATCTTTCCTAACCTTTTAAATGTCTTTACTGTCACTTTTGATCAATTTAATGTGTCCTTGCTGAATAAAAGTAATAATTTCTTTTAAATAAAATAAAATAATACTAATGCCAAATTTTTGAACGGTAGTTTGCAGAGCTGGTTTTGTGACGCAAACATTAAAATGATCTTTTATAATGGACAAAATGCCGATAATTGGTGTGAGAAGGAATAAAAGGGTGTTGTGTTTTACTGCCACTAGTGTGCATTTCAGATGGAAACCAGTGAGTTCTATGTACAGGTATGTTTTTTTTTTACAATGAGACTGGGTTGGTGATGTCACTCAGAAATATGCCATAATAAGAGAACAGATAGATGCAGTAAATGCCTAGTTAACTCAACAATAACATTAATATGTAACCTGTATATACATCATATAAACAGCCTTGCTTTAAACTTTAAACTGAACTGGGCCTTAAGCTGAGCCAGAAGACAGAGTAATAAGTTAATGTACTGTGGGACAGTACTCAGGAAAAAACAGACAAACCAAAACTTAATAGCATTTAATAAGTCCCCATCCAATGCAGATGGTATAGCATTGCTCATGAGGAAGAGTCCAGCTATGTGGCCAGCATAGGGAGGAAATGAGTAGATGGGTGTCTCCGTCTAGCTTTGTGACCTCTGCGGGGTTTCCCTCGGCCATTCAGCGACACAAACATCTGCCTGCCCCTGTGCTTCCAGCGCAGCGAGGCGTAGGTGTTATAGCCGTTCTCTTCTATGCGCTCTTTGAACTTGCAGCTGGGGCTGTATCTGACCTGCAAGGAGTCGAATGAAGAGTGCAGTTTGAGTTACTCCAACTGTGTTGTTGACAACATCAAAACATTTACAGTAGTTTAGTACTTGTAGTGTTCTTTTTTTATACACTTATAAAAATATTCTTGAATTTTAGTCAATTTCATTGTCAAATTCATATAAATTCAGTTTTAATCTAGATAACTAAAATGCCATCTGAATTCATTAATGAAAATAACGTTTTATTTGTCTTCATTATTGCTTACGAAATTCAAAAACATATTCATCATGATGGCAACATTAAGAGTCTGTTTATTTAACATATGATGAAGATTGAACATTAAAAACTTCAAAGAGCTGACTAAAATCAACATCTACTCTGATTTACTTGCTAGTTGCTGTATTTTATAAACTTTTTGGTTGCAAGTAAACAAGACATCCGTTTTAAGAACTCCAGAACCATATGACAATATATATATATATATACACTGTATATACACACACACACACACACACACACACAGTATATATATATACTGTATATATATGTTGTAAACAGTGCAACTTATACATATTTCAAACTGATAATGCAGTTCATACAAATGACAAAAATATTGCCAAATTTACCTCAAATGACAAGAACATACATTTCTGATATCAAGGTTTTAACATCTATATTAACTATATATGTATATATATATATATCAAAACATTTAGATTCCTATTATATATCTATAGGCCTTTTTTTATATTTTATATTTTTTTATATATCCTTTGCCAGGATAAGCTAAAAAGTTTATTTCCGAAAGTCAAAAGTCTGGCTACACGAGACGACTGAAATTTATTTTTTTTAAAGCAGATTTTGAGCATTAAGGCCACAATATTCATATTATAAGGGGCCATTCAATGGCCATTTTCTTAAAGCTGCAGTCCATAGGTTTTGCCTCTTTGTCGTCATCTCTGTTTGAAAACCGAATTATCTTCCTTGCGTGGGCACGGCATCACAGTATGTGAGGGGCGTAACATTTCCGTCTCACGCTTGAGGTATTCGGCCAATCACAATGCATTGGATAGCTGGCACACAGCACAACTCGCTTTTTCAGACCGATGAGCTTTGTAAAAATCGATGCGTTTCAAAAAGGCGGGGCATAGAGGAGAAACAATAATGTACAGTATGTGGAAAATAATGTTTTTTTTTTTTACTTAAAACTGCATAAACACATTTCATTACACCAAATACACAAAATAATGTTCTTTTTAGCAGCATCATATGACCCCTTTAACCCAAAAAGCAAATTATGCTCCCTTCGAACTGGTTGTCTTTAAAATACAAATCTTGTATAATCCCAGGCTATCTGTAATCAGAAGCACACTTAAAACTGGAATATAATTTAATTTCATTCACATGTGTTTCATAAACACATAATCCTTTCTGGATTACAATCCTCCATCAAAATGATACAGTTAATTATTCCAGCTGCTGTGTGAAAAGGCTATAAACGATCCTTCACCTGCAGGATCCTCACATGCGATAGCCTAGTAGCCGGGACAACTTCTTTACGCAGTGCCATGCTCGAATTTCCCGTGAAAACCTACCCGTACCACTCAAATTAGAAAACATTATTAGAAGCTAACAGTTGTGAATCGGGCTAAAGTAAGGCCATAGTTTAGAACACTGGCTGGTTATGTACTTGCTCAAATATTGATTTCCGATCATTTTTAACCCAAAAATAAAAAATCTTTAAATAATTACATTTGGATCACCAAGTCCTGAGTATGTGATTTCCTTTTAGTGAGGGGCGTAACATTTCCGTCTCACGCTTGAGGTATTCGGCCAATCACAATGCATTGGATAGCTGGCACACAGCACAACTCGCTTTTTCAGACCGATGAGCTTTGTAAAAATCGATGCGTTTCAAAAAGGCGGGGCATAGAGGAGAAACAATAATGTACAGTATGTGGAAAATAATGTTTTTTTTTTTTACTTAAAACTGCATAAACACATTTCATTACACCAAATACACAAAATAATGTTCTTTTTAGCAGCATCATATGACCCCTTTAACCCAAAAAGCAAATTATGCTCCCTTCGAACTGGTTGTCTTTAAAATACAAATCTTGTATAATCCCAGGCTATCTGTAATCAGAAGCACACTTAAAACTGGAATATAATTTAATTTCATTCACATGTGTTTCATAAACACATAATCCTTTCTGGATTACAATCCTCCATCAAAATGATACAGTTAATTATTCCAGCTGCTGTGTGAAAAGGCTATAAACGATCCTTCACCTGCAGGATCCTCACATGCGATAGCCTAGTAGCCGGGACAACTTCTTTACGCAGTGCCATGCTCGAATTTCCCGTGAAAACCTACCCGTACCACTCAAATTAGAAAACATTATTAGAAGCTAACAGTTGTGAATCGGGCTAAAGTAAGGCCATAGTTTAGAACACTGGCTGGTTATGTACTTGCTCAAATATTGATTTCCGATCATTTTTAACCCAAAAAAGTTGCGGACTGCAGCTTTAAATAATTACATTTGGATCACCAAGTCCTGAGTATGTGATTTCCTTTTAGTGTTTAGCATATTAAACCATATTGTTTTACCAAGCTCACTGAACCATGTGGTGAAAAACAGCTTCAGAAATCTGGGAGTGAGTTATGTTCCAAACATCCCATTGTATACCCATTACACATTTGTATTTATCTCAACCAGCCTGTCATTGTAAATCAACCATCACTGTCTCGCTTGGGCTCAAAAAGCTGCCTGACGAAGCCAAGAGAGCTCTGCCACTCTGCTACAACTGGATAGAGCTATTTACTTGAAAAGGGACAAAAAGGATGATAACAACAACACTTAAGAGTCCTGGTCAAGGCGGCTTTAGCCTACAGTTCGATAAGATCACTGCGGAATGAGTGAATGTGACTAATAATCATTCAAAAGAGTAAGAAAAGAAGGGTGCTTAGGCCTCGAGTGATTCCCAAGGTTTGTCATGTTTACTCTGGGGATCGGGGGACAGATATAGCCATCTGTAAGCCATCTTATCATGGCTGGGTGACAGATTGCCAGAGTGAGATTTCTCAGAGAGCAGTTAAAGTGCACCATGCAATGGGGCGTCTTCATTAAACAAGCCACAAACAACTGTCTGGTGGCACGCACTAATTTCACAAAAACAGTAAGCGACCAAAGATTTGGACATTCCGGTAAAAGACGTAATGTTAGTTCTAGGATATACACTGGATGACCCGCTTTTGCACATTTTTGTTTCTGTAATTTGCAAAATGTTAATACTAAAAGATGCTGAAACATTGCGATGTACCTACCGATCCGAAGAGCGTTCCCTTTTTGGACATAGCTAGGTACAGGCCAGTGCTGACAGATTTGATGGCGACAACTCCCACACTGACAGATCGGATTTCCATCAGACCTGAGGAGGGGAAAAAAGGAACAGAAGTCTGGTTTAGAAAGGGCGAGTTTCTCCATCAAAAGCCACTCTATCATTGCTGATTAGAAAACCAGGCATCCATATGCTCTAGGGATGTTTTTTTTTCTCCCAGGACAAGAAAAAACAGGACACACTACAATAGGCCAGTTTGAATGATGCTCTTTGTGAATCCACCAAGAACAACCTAGATTTCCAGACATGGTTTTCTTTGGAACTCATGTGGCACTTATGGCATAATTAACGCAAATGTAGAAAACTACAATATACTAGATTGATATTATGGCCAGTGTTGGGGATAAAACTTTAAAGTTACGAATACAAGTCGCAAGTAAAGTAATGCATTACTTATTTTGTTGACATCATATTTTATTTACTGACAAATTGATTCTGGGTGTACTGGCCAAAATACAAATCTGGCTTTAATGGTGATCAATGCATGAATCAGTGGTGATCTTGTTTTCTGTTGGTTGCGCACAAGAATGGCATTTTCAACCCAATCTCTTGAGAAAACAGATATATTACGAGTGTGGAATTTCATACACATTTGTATGTTGTAATTTATGAGAAAATGTACAATTTGCATGAAAAAATATGTATTAAACTTTATCCCTAACCCACCCCAAAACTTACCCCTCAGTTGGGTGCATGTCAACGGATTTGCGTATGTCGTATTTATATGAATTTGCAACAAATTAAAATGGTTACAAATTGTTGTGAAACTGTGTTGCCTACAGGAAAAGATATCCCTGTTAATGTAAATAAAAATGTTTGAGAAAGAGTTTAAGGGGCCATTTACAGAGAACAAATTTTTGCATTACACTGAGCTGCTTTTCCGTTGTGCTCTTCCAAATATGCACTAGATGGATGTGTATGACTGTTCCGCTCACGTCACTTTTTTTTAGCATCTCACACATGATACTGCATTCTAAAAATCTGAGTTTCATGTTAAAAAGTTCAACCTTAAAAAAAAAAAAGCGCAATAATTTTTTTTTCATTCCAATGCTCTGCCTCAAGTAATGAAATCAATAGTCAAAATTGCATTTCACCTATTCGACTCTATCTAAAGCTTTTTTTTTAATGATCTGGCAATTTGGTTTCAGATTGATTATGGTTGGATGTCCATCATGCTAGGTTCTTCTAATGCTGTTTTTGCACTAAAATGGAGGCATGCCCATTGTCATGACAATATGGCAGATTGTTTTGGAGATGACGTGAGATTGTCCTGGCAATCTGTGCAAATCCATTACATCACAAACTTCATAATGTCTGGTGTTATCTGTTGAGAGTATCCATGAGCTTTTAAGGCTCATAAAAAGCAGCTTTAAAAGGAAAAAAGACAAAAGGCTGCAAACCATTTGGTGTCAGCTGGGTGCCCCTCTATAATACTGCAAGGGGAAACGGTGCAGACAAATCAGCTGTTGGCTTTGGACAAGGACTGTAAACACTAACACGTTGAGGTGCTGAATGAGATGTTGACCTAGCGCCAGTTGGGAAACGAACACAAAAAAACACAGGAAGGCAGATCTGTTGAACACATGTGTTGCAGGTGGCAGACCGAAAAACTTGGATTTGGGATTCTGGTTAAAGCTTTTCAGCTGTGACTGAGTAAACCCTCGCTGTCAGGTTTAAGCAGGTGTAGCTATTTCTCAACAGTCATTTCTTCCAGTTTAAACTCATAGACTAATTATCGTCTGCAACTTTGTGACACTTCCTGGGATGAATGTACTTGTTGAATTAAAAATGTTCTATTATGATAAAAAATACTGTGTTCTATCAGAAAGACTTGGCGATAGAATAACATCCTTGGATGTAAGCTATTTCCAGTGAGTTTGGAAATTAAATCACTGACACCAATAAAAGCAGAAGATACTGCAGTAATTTAATGTCACTATATAACAAACTTCTATTATTCATTATTGTTTATGTGTATTTTTGTGGTAAACTCTAAAAGCAAAAAGCAAACAACAGTCCTACAATGCTTGCCATCCCATTATTGAAATACTCTTTTTTTATTTTTTTTATTTATTTTTTTAATTAGGCTTTTTTTTAAATGTTCTTGCATTTTCTAGGTTGTATTTACATTTACATTACATTTATGCATTTGACAGATGCTTTCATCCAAATCGACTTGCAAAGTATTTAATCAACACAACCTTTAATCAAACGGCATCCATCAAATGCATAAATGTCATTTAAACGTATTACAACCTAGAAAATGCAAGAAAAATTAAAAAAGCCTAAAAAAATAATAAATAATATATTGAAGTTTAAAATTAAAATAAAGGAAGCAATAATAGGGCAGCTCACAGGCAACAGAATGTGACATGAAATCTTTTTCTTGTAACAGTACATAAGTAAATTACGTAATGTTTTCATAAACTTATGCGGATAATGTAGCCCTTCATCATGAAGACGTGCTGATAGATGACTCAGGTATACAGCTACAATCTCATTCTATAATGTCTGTCTTTGAAGGCCAATGTGTTAGTTACTTGCCGTGTTTACAAACATGGTTGCATTGGTGACGGACGCGTGCAAACAGCTTATAAGACATCCATCCAGTCTCCCAGATGATTGGAGCTCACATTGAGTTTATGAGGAAGGGTCCAGTCAAATGAAAAACACCGGTGTCTGAAGTAAGTGCTGTTACTTCTAATTTTCATTATTAGCTGCTCAAAGGTGTGAGTCAATTCCAATTCAGCTCTGAAAATCAGGCAGACCTCCTGAATAAAGAACTGGTTTTAGTGCTTTATTTAATCCGCTAAAACCTTTCTTAAAAAAATAAAAATAAAAAATCCCATTCTCCCATAATTTTCATATAAATGTTACTTTCTGTACCATTATTTGAACTCAGCTGAACCAGAGTTGAGAAAATCCAAAGGGTAGTTGGTGCAGATTTGTCTAGGTGAAATTATTCATGTTCTTGACGCATGACCAAACACCTATAAAGGCCAGTTGGACCTTTATTAATCTTTGAAGGCAGTAAAATACTTCAGAGGCTAATATTCACAACACAACCATTTTAGTCCGAATCACAACAGAATGGCTCAAATGAGATGGTTCTTTGTAGTGATTCATTCAACACATACAGCTTACAACTAACTGAGGCCTACAGTACAGCGGAGTAATGTGAATGGATACACCATTATGCTTTTTGTCAGTAGTATTTTCTAAATAACAACCATCATGTTGTGTTCCAGTCATTTTAATTCTGAGAAGATATTCTTTTCCCCAAAAATGCTAGTTTATGTTATCGCATTGGACTAAAACGTTGCTCACACAGGTCATGACAACTTGTGGGAAAAAGGGATAATTTTAATACTTTTTTAGGACTTTTGTCCACACCATGATACATTTGTGATGTCTACAAAAAAAAATAGTTAATCTCTCCTTATGCTATACTACTTCTGAATATTGTATTAATTATTTCAATCAACTTGTTTTCCTTCAATTAGCACAAGCATTTCTTTTTAGAACTGGCTAATTGTAGTCCTTATCAATCTGACCTTAGTTTTTGAGTGAACATTGCCAAAATTATGTACAAATAATGCTTTTTTCCCCACTCCAAAACTAAGGCAGTTTTTGACCAGGAGCAACAAATTAGGTAAAGGATTTTTAGCACAGAACAGGAGTTAATGAATGAATTAGGCAAGATTCCTAAAAATTACCAATGGGTTTGGCAGGTGAGAATAATTTCAGAGAAACTGCATTGAGTTTGTTTTCATCTCATCTTCGGCAGACTCTCTTGACCTTTGACATGTTTTGGCCGGAGCTGGCAAGAAGCTGCTTAAACTATTACAAGCAAAATCCTCATTTCTACAGACTTAGTCAAGTGTAGACTACGCATTCTTCCCATCTCACATGTAACTTCTGAAAGCCCTTTGCACAGTCTTTTTACTCTTTCACTTTTGCCTTAATCTCCCACCCTTTACTTTCTGGACGTGAGCCCATCTTCATATCATTCAGGCCTTTTTTGACATTGAAAGCAAATCATTTAAGAAAAAAAAAGCAGGAAGGAGCTCTCAAAGCGTTTCCTTTGTAAGAATTATTGTCGGGTGAGAGGAGCAGAAGGAGGAGTTGCTGGAGAACGCGGGATATGGATGCTGGTAATAAGGAAAGCCAGGGCGGAGGTCAGGAGGTTCCTAAAATTATGTTTCCTTCAACTGGCCCTTTGCTCCCAATAGGCCTTTGTTACCTACCTGAGATTTGGAAGCTGACAAGGTCTCATTAATGACCCGGCTTTTGTCACACAGAGCAAAGTTCCACCCACATCAATTAAAAGAGAAGGAGGGGGTCGACAGGGTGAAAGATGGAGCTAAGTTTCTCCGGCGAACCCCCTCCCTTACATGCTTTTTAAAGAGGGTCTTTAATTTCCCAGGTTGCCCCCTCCAGCAGCCCTCTCTGGCCTGTCGCCCCTTCGGGTGAAAGCCTGGGAATCTCTTGTGTCCAACTGGGTGCTTGTAGTTGATTGACGTACCTTTTCAATTTTTTCACAGTTTGCTTTTTTCCTATAGAGGGTCCTGATGTTGTTTTTTCTCCTTTTCTTTCCTAACCCTTTTCAGATCACAACCTTTTCATGCTGGGTCCTTATTGCTGCGCCTAATGGCCGTGACCAGCACCTTTGATCAGATCAGCCTCCTCCTAGGTGCCCTTGAGCTGAATGAACTCGAGGCCAATGTGTGTGGGATGAGTGTTCAGGCCGTGAGCCCACCCCAATCACTGCTGCTTTAAACAGCTTGAGTTTCAAGTGTGCGGGAAACCGCTCTGCCCTACTTTTGGACCACGTTACCATCAAAATCGAATTATCACCTAATGCTGGTGCCCTGAGGAAAGAGGTTATCATCTGATGGTTAGTGTTGAGGAAAGTTACTTTTAAAAATAATGCATTACAATATTGCATTACTCCATAAAAAAGTAACTAATTACATTACTTAGTTACTTTTTATGGAAAGTAATGCATTACATTACTTTTGCATTACTTT